TTTATAAATGATTATTGTAGTCGGAGGGGGTATATTCTAGGATAAAATTTGAACTCTAAAAAAGAGATATTCCCTCTGTCCCAGAATATGAGGATTATATTTTTAACCTAAGTTAAACTATTTTAAGTTTGACTAAGTTTTAAACTACACCCGTCTCAAAATATAACAGAATTTTCCCATATAATTACATGAGCCAAATCACTTATTCTTTGAAATGGGTATAGCACAGAAGAATATTAACATCTACCACACAATCTACCACATAAAAACAGTAAATTATAATGATATATTTTATAATGGGTCTAATGATGCTCATTTGATATTGTAAATATTATTTTGTTTTCATAAACTTAGTTAAACATAGTTTGACTTACAACAAACATAAGGTCCTTTGAGACAGAGGGAGTATATGATATAGTAGTACCGAATGTAAGAGCATCTCCACGAGTCCCCTAAACATATTCTGTAAATTTAAATTTTGGGAATTAAGTTAAAACACATGTCTCCAACAAATACCCAAAAGAGCTCCCAAATTTTAAACACCTCTAATACCGGCGCCATCCTGAGCTAGATATGGGGCACCTCATAGAACTCCCAATCCCCGGCCACAATCACGCCAATTTTTTGCCGCTGGCATCATTTTTTGGCAATCGTGCGCGATCAACCTCGCAATGATGTACAGGAGAAATATAATCGGCCAAAAATAGTTGAGGAGGGCCCACTAGCGATGAGATAATATATTTCAATGTTTTGAAACCTAAGCACTGACTCTGTTGGAGAAGTGGGTGATTTTCTTCTTGCATATTTTTGAGATGACCATAATCCAAGATTATCGGGAGTACAATTTTAAGCCATTGGCCTAATCTATACACACTTATCACAGTTAACAAGTATAATCCAAAATTAGCAGGAGTTTAATTTTGAGACTGGTATGCCTCTTATTATGGTTTACCATATTGCTCATCTAAATGTTTTTATCATACTGTTTTTGAGATTAAAAACTAGTATTTATCGGTTTGTCGAAAACCGAGCAAAAACCTGTGAAAACCAACAATTTATATACAGGAACCAGCTTAAACAACCCCGTTTCGGGAAGCCTAGTATGCAAACGTTTGCGGACACCGGGATCACACGAACGCGTTGACTTCCCATTTTCCGACTTCATGTTCTATGGGGTCGTTTTATTTTTAGCGCAAACGAGATGAAGGCCTTTCCGCCCCTAGTTTTAGCTATTTGTGTCCCAACTTTCCCCACATAAAATTTCCCGTCAAAACTTTACCTACATAACCCTTCCTTGTATAAACTTTCTATCGAGAAACTTTCATTGTATAAACTACTTCCCGAAAATATTACCCATATAAACTTTTTTCCCAAAAACTTGCCCGTATAAACTTTCGCCCAAAAACTTTCCACATATAAACTTTCTCCACATAAACTATTTCCATATAATTTTCCATATAGAAACTTTTATAGAGAGGAGATTACAAATAAATGAAAAAATTATTTCAAAATCATATGAAATTTTAATCAAATCTCAAAAAGTATATACTCAAATTCAAAGACCTTGAAATGAATCTTTCAATAAAATAACTTCTCAAAACCCTGAACTTAACCATGGCATGGAGCTCACCGGGGTGCAGTGGATTTTTTGCTGGAGAGAAACAGATTTCGTGCACACAACACCTTGCCAGAGGGAGGAAAAAGCACGTCGTCGTTGACAACCACAGCTGCGACAGGGCCACCTCGCCCTTCGCTTCATCTGTGATGACGACCTCATCACTGTGCGCTCCGTCCATCTCGCCAAGGTGAGAAGAGAGGGGAGGGGGGAACAGGGCTCTTACCGAAGAGGTGAGGAGGAATAGGGAGTATGCACACAACTTGATTTGTCGCGATAGTGGTGGAGGAAGTGTGAGAGGAACTCAAGCAGGGAGGAAAAAATTATGTGATAGAACAGATCTACTTCCTCCGTCCTTAAAAAGAGTCGATTCCTAGATCCCCAATGCAAATTTTGTATAAACGTGAAAAGACAAAAGTGCCCTCATTAACTATATCCATTTATCAACTATGCCGTTTCTATGCACATGTATGTAAGAGACATCTTATGCATAATAAACAACGCCAAAAAAATTTAAAAAAATTCACTTGCTGGAAGAAAAGAAAACATCTACGATCTCTCCAATCTGAGGGGAAAAATGCTCTTAATTCCCCCTGTAAGAACTACTACTGCAAACAACGGCAAAAACCAAGAATAAAGAAAAAAGAAAGACAAAAAAGAATAGAGAAAAAAATACAATGGTATTTGCCTTTACCACTGTAGGCTTGTGCATCGAGAGTCAGGATTAGATCCCCTGTAAATGAAAAGCATACAAAACGCAAGAGAAGAGAGATGGGGCGGAGATAAGATTTGTGGTGTTAAAGCGTGAATGATAGGGAGAGAGGCCAGAGTCATTGAATGCTTCTATTTTTTAAGCATTCTAAGTCGGTTTTTTATAGGACAAACTCTCCCTCGTACATTCGTGGTGAACGTTCCCCCACCCCCACACACCCCCCGTTTTCACAAACCGATGCCTAACATGCTTGCGTGCAAACATCGATAGTGCGAAGTTTTTGAATTTGAAATGAAGAGCTGGAATTCATGAGCAGAAGTATCAAGATTTCGCTGTACGAAAATATAAATGCAGAGACGCTCAGGGGGTGCTAAACAACAAAAACTGAACGAATGCACGCATCCCCACGCTGGGCTCACTCTTCCCCTGTTTCCGTGCCAAAGATGAGCATCCGAAGCAAAAGAGCGTAGCGCAAGAGGAAAGGAGTAGACAAAAACCGACAAGCTTCACGTTTCGGATTAATGGCACCGAGGCATTTTCCCAGCACCCAGGCGTTCGACTGACGCCGACGGGGCCAACGGCATTTACGCCTAGCAACAAGCACACACAGTGCTTGTTTACCCTACAGTGGCATTGTGGCAAGCGGCCAGCCGAAGCCATGTTCATGATAAGGGAGGGAGTTCCTGTCGACAAATTCGCACGGCAGAAACAACAGACGTTTTTCAGTTTTTCACATGCATATTCTGTAGATTGTAGATTTCCTTCTGGTTAAGCAAGGTTTGCAATTGCTCCCGTAGCCAGCTGAATACGAGAATGTTTGGGGAGCTTCTGGGAGAGAGAGCATAAAAGCTTTATCAAACAGTTTTATCCGTTCAGAAGTTATTTAGAAGTTAGGGGAAGTTAAGGCCGGAAAGGCTGATCGCGATCGATCGCCAAGGCCAACTGGTAGCAATCAGTGCCCCCCTCCCTCCACCTGGTTTTATTTTTTTGGCACCGCATTACTTTCATATTTTAGTAAATTTATGCACATAAAGTTTATACATCTCGAGTTTACACATCTAAAGTTTAGAGACTAAAAGTTTATAAGTCAAAAGTTTATATATCCGATTCAAATTTGAATTTGAATTCAAATATTTTTTTATATATAGTATTTCTAGACCTAAAGTTTATAAGTCAAAAGTTTATATACCCGTTTCAAATTTGAATTTGAATTATATCTGATTTAAATTTGAATTTGAATTCAAATATTTTCTATATATAGTATTTCTATATATCTAAAGTTTATACACCTAAAGTTTACAGATCCAAAGTTTATAAGTCAAAAGTTTACATACCCGATTTAAATTTGAATTTGAATTCAAATTTTTTATATATAATATTTATTTACATAAATTTTTCTAACTTTTGTTTTTTAAAAACAATTTTGTGGTGTTCTGTAGTAGGGAAGAGAAGGAGAGGAGGGGGGAGAAGAGGGACGTATAGGGGAGGGGGTCAGCGATCACCCGCTTCATACGATTAATTATTTTTGGAGGAATACTATCCAAAAAAAATTCCCTTTCCTTTGGTGCTGGTTTCACAGGAAAAGTCCAGGAAAAAATCATCCATCACAAGCTCTTTTTTTGCTTCCTACATGCAAGTCCTAGACAGTCAACTTACTGTGATCCGCATGCCCTCAACTTTTGTACTCCTTTGTTTTTCATTATTCTGTTTTACGCTTAAATTCCTTCTCTATTCCTATACTTTTCAGATCCTATGGTTTTCCTATCCTTTAATCCAAACGAGCCCTTATATTTACGAACTCTAGAAAATAAACTAGAAGCTAGAAACAAGTTTTTTTCTTCTTCTAGATTGTTTCTCAAGACTCATACTCTCCCAAACTCAATTGTACTGCTTGGAGCCTTTGGATGCCTACTTTCATTACCATCCAGTACCCAGTTACCCACAGAAGAAAGGCAAAGAAAATTTCCAGCCCCCCATGACGAAGCATCGAAGAGGACATCATTGACTACCAAGGGAATTCGTTGCTTTTCCAGCTCAGAAAGTGCCCTTTAAAACCAATCGTGTCTAACACATCCACGGTATCAGAATTAATCGACAACAAAATGGCAATTTTCCCAAGGACTAAATAAAAGTACAGCAAAGGTCTCATTATTAAGAGGTGAAACTTAGGGCATGTTCACTTTGATGCCAAAAAAAAACCTTACCAAATTTTGGCATTACCATGACAGGATTTCTTATATAGTTACCAAAATTTGGCAGCAAACTAAATGTAGCCACTTTTTTTTGATAACTTTACCAAAATTTGGTAAGGTTGAAAATGGCATCAAAGTGAACATGCCCTTATTTTACCCAGATGCCATACTAACTTCCATCTTCATACCTACTATTCGCTACGCAGTTGCAACCGAGTTGCTTGCACATAAACATTAGACTATCGTTAGGATACCTCGCTACTATTTGATATTCTGATTGAACTCATTCAATTAACACTCTCAAGGATGTACTAACAGAGGGCATCAAATTGGGGAGAACTACAAATACAAGAAGGCATACCATACATAACATGAAATCTTCCACTATCAGCATATCAGTATCACCTACTGCCTTTAACTAAACTTCAAAGCAACAACTAGCATATCACTATCCAACATCTCTATAATTAACGACAAAAAATGGCACTTGGCATAACATATGCATTATCTTCATTGTTTACAGAATACCATTTCAATAGCACACTACATGTATAACAAGCTAGATAAATGGAAGAAGAATCTTAAAAGAGAACACAAGTTCAATTATGCATGTTTGGTTCTAAAACCTAATGCAGAATCGGAGACTGCAGTGCAAAGAGCAACCAATTATATATACCATGTTGTAGGCTGCCCTATACAGCTAATTATTCCAATGTGCTCGACAGCGATGGCAGCTATTTTTAGTACTGAGGTAGTTAAGCTTGCAGGCCAGATTTCTACAACTCGAAGCAACCAAAGAAATAAATTTGTATAGATGCATCCTAATCATCAACAAAAAGCTAAACCAAACCCTTTTTTTTAATCAGAGAAAGGGCAACAACTGCTGATGAAATAGCAATGGTAACACAGAATTATCCATCATGATGATTTTGCGAGAACTAGATAGTAAAATTAATAACCTAAGGAACATGAATATGAGATTAGAATGCATAAAGTAGCAAATAGGTTCATCAATTTTTTTTATCTCACATCACAGAGCTGGAGGATTGCCAAACCTCCTCCTGAGTGCTGACATGACGCTCCTCATCCTACTACTTGCCTGGGCAGATGATTGTGCATTGCTGGCGTTAGTCGGGAGATCCATGGCTGCCATCTGATCAGTAAGCTCTGTAATTTGCACCTGTCCAGCCTCTTGCCCGCCATTTTCAATTGCACCTCCAGCATCACGCTCCAATACAATATCCAAGCTGATAGAGAATGAGCCACCCCTAACCACCTTCAGGTTCTCAATACATTCATACGATACGCCCCGGCATCTCTTCAATTTCACCTTGACCAAGCTGGGGCAGCCCCCATTCAGTGCCCACATCCCACGGTCTGAGACTGGGCAACCCTTGATGCAAAGCTTCTTGAGCGCAGCGCAGCGCTCAGCCAGGCAAATGATCTCAGGATCCCCAACGGTCTCACACCCACAAAGGGCAAGACGCTCCAGTGAGCGGCAATGTTCACCAAGCATACGGAGACTCTGCACGGTAGGGTTGACCCCAATCAAGACGAGCTCTTGCAGGTCTGGACATCCTCGTGCAACAGCCATGAGGCCATGATCCCCAATCCTGTTTGTGCGCCACCCATCAATATGTAGCTTGCGCAGTTTGTGACATTTCTCGGCAACGCTGATTATGCCTGCATCAGTACACTCTGGGGTCTTGACAAGAAACAGGACTTCAAGGTTTGCACATGCCGATACAGCGGAGAGGCCGCGGTCACCCACCTGCAGCTTCTCAAGGTGGAGCTCAACAAGGCCAGGTACACGCGCGGCGATGACCTCCAATGGGAGGTCCCAGGAGCCAGAGCACCTCAAGATCTTGAGCGACCGGAGGTTCGGCGACGAGGCAACCAACGGCACGAAGCAGAGGGCGCTGTACAGGTCTTTCAGGCAGACTGACCGCAGCGACGAGGCGGGCGGGAAGAGGATCTCCTCGGTGATGGCGGTGGTGGCGCCGGCGGTGTCAGGGAGGCCGCGAAGGCGCTTGACGGAGAGGTCCTCGAGGAGGGGGCACGACCGGAGGACGGCGACGAAGGCCTTGGGCCCAAAACTGCAGGACGCGACGGAGAGCTTGCGGATCACCGGCGTGGCGCCAGCGAGCGACGCGAGCCCGTCGTCGGAGAGCTGCCGGAGGCCGCGGAGCTTGAGCCTGGCGAGCCGCGCGGACGGCAGCGCGGCGGCCACCTGGCGCGCCCCGTCGTCGGAGAGGCTGTCCGTCCCGGAGCCCCGGGCGCAGCGGAGCGCGAGCTTGCTCACCGCCGTGAACCGCGCGAAGATCCCCTGCGCGGCGTACCCGAGCGCGGCGCGGGCGTCGAGCGAGAGGCGGTGGCGCGTGGAGGCGTCCACCTCCTTCCACCGCGCGCAGGTGAGCGAGCACGCGTTGCGGTCGGTCGGGGTGAGCGACGCGAACACGAGGGAGAGGATCTCGTCGGGCAGGTCCTGCGTGTGGTCTCGCTCCGGCGGCGGCGCCGCGAACCTTGCGCCGCCGCCGGCGGTGGGCGGCGCGTCCCCCGCCACCACCAGCATCGTCCGCTGCGCCCTGGGCGGCGCCATGGGAGGAGGAGGAGGAGGAGGAGGAGGGGAGGGTGAGGCGGAGGAGGTGGAAGAGGAAGAGGAGGAGCTGGATTTGGCGAGGCGGGGAGTCGAGGGGGATTGGCCCATGCTACGCTATCCCCGGGGCCGCGATGGGTGGGGAGGCGCAAGCCATCCGGGTGGTGGACGGGATGCGCGGCCGGATCTGCCGATCCGGTTTGCGGGGGGCAAGCGAGGCGACGACGCCTCGTCTAATCGACCACCGGGAGAGGAGGACGAGGAGGAGATGGGGAAAGTAGCCGAGTTTAGTACACCGATGCGTCGAATTGATGGTGAGCCCGTGAGAGCGTTTCGATTTTCTTTTTCCTCTCTTCTCTCGTTCTAATCTCAGGTGGTTGGGCGAGGTTGCGGACGGTGTGTGCGTCGTCACAGCCGAGCCGCCTCGCGGAGAGGGCAGCACCGCAGCAGCGTGCCAGCGTCTCGTCTCTCGTGGACTCGGTCATTCGCTGGCGTGTGGCCAAGGCAAAGGGCGTGAGCGCTGCTGCCTCGGATGCGCGCAGCGGGTGGGGGCGCAAAACTTGTGTGCGTATTGACCGTGTTTTTTTTTTTAACTGAGGCGGGATATTTCTGGGCTTCTGGCGAGCGGCGGAGCCAGCGGCCAGTGTATGAACCTGTGGGAGCAACACCGTTTCTGACCGGTTTACTATACTAGGAATTTGTTTGGTGTCACGCGAAGTACGACTATATTAAGGTCTGTTTATAAAACCCTTATCAAATTTTGGCATGTCAAAATTTTAATATAGCTGTCAAAATTTTGTTAATTAAATATAGCCACTTTTTTTTTATAACTTTACCAAAACTTAATAAGATTAAAAATAGCATCAAAGTAAACAGTCTCTTAATCTGAAGTTGTTGCGGGGGAGGGATCCTCTCTTTACTCTCTTTTAGTACGTGCTTGACCTAATCCTAAACAAAAGAAACGGGCCCGATCAGGTCAGGTCTACCTCAACCTCAACCGGACAATTGCCGTGTGGTTGCCCAAAATGGGTGGTCTATCGCGTGACGTGCCGAATTACATCGTGTTTTGTATTCGGTGCAGGTGTCGATTTCGCGTGGAGAGACCCACAAAGAGCTGACGAAGAGAAACGAAAACTTGCAGCAACCATTGTTTTGTTGGGGAGAAGAAAAAACCCAACCAAACAAACGCATTGATGACGTCCACCCAAAAACCACAAAAAAACGTACGGCTCTAGCTACAGTAGCGTAATGCTCGCACATTGAAACAGTAATAATCCCTTGCTGTTGCTGAAGACTGTGTACATCGTACATCCAGCATGCGTCTACGCTACTGCTCAGCTGTACCGACGCGGATGGCAGTTGCATCCCCATTATTTGCCGGGACCGGTGCGCACCGGGTCGGAATCCACGTCGGTCAGCGCCTCAGCGGGCGCGGCGGCAACAAACAGCGCGAACGCTCCACGACGCCCGCCTTTGCTGGAGAAGAGGGAAATTCGGAGCAGTTTGTTGCCGGTGAGCCTGCAGAATTCGCGCGCGCGTACACTATTTCTGCAGCTTGCGGCTGAATTTTAACAGGGACATCGCATCGTGATCACCACGATATCCACATCCACTGTTCCGTTCTATAGCATCGTTCCGTGCAACTACTTGAGGTTGATGTTTTCAGAATCTTCAGACAAGCACCACAAGCCTGCATCAGCCTTTCGGTCCATTTTTACAGACTACACAAGTTAAAGAAGTTGCCCGGAAACATTAGCTTCGGTCCAGAAATTCAGTCCATGCAATGGTGTAGTCTTTATCTTGCTTTACAGCTCAGGCATACACACAGGTGTATGTACGCAGAAGCGTAGTAATCAGTGGAGTCAAATCTAGCTAGGAAGATTTCGCTTTGCAGTTAACTACGCTCTCTTTCTGCTAAGTGGTGCAGCTTTGCTGAAAAGACGAGCTTCCCATACGTAGTGGGGCGCACTACTGCAGAACAACAAGAAGAAGAGAAATGGCGCAGGACGATGTGAAATGATGAAGTGATTATCATAATCATGTAAGACAAGGATGTTGCTTGTTAAATACTCGTGGCCTGCTCTGAAAAGAGGAGGATTCTGGATAAGAAAAGGAGCAGCCATTGGTTGCTTTCAGCACAATACTCAGCTTATCCTGTCAAAGAACAACCAACACTCGAGTAATCATTCACCATTAACTTTCAGTGAATCCTACCTACAAGCTTTCTGAATCGCCTTTAGCGGCTCTGCACTCATTAGCTAAAATTGCAAAATTACTGGAATAAAGACCAAAGCAGTTCATGTTCATGTTCATCCTGCCTCATGAGTCATGAATAAAGTTACTTCGTTCTACTTTTATTGTCAGATTTCCATTTGATGAGTAATGAGCCTTCAGATGCAAAATTGCCGAGCTGGAGCCCTGGAAGGTGGCGCGTCTGTATCAAGGAGCCAATTTTGTCTCTTTTTTGGAGTGGGATACATCAAGAACTACTTTTTATACAACTTCTTTTGTGCAATTGATTGATCGATCAACAGTAATACAGAGGAGATAGTAAGATACAGTGGTTTCTGTAAGTCTATTATAATCTCATCCCCATTTCGTCTTGTCTGTTGGGACATGGGACTGTATCACAGTACAGTCATGACAATCGCACCGCCGTGAACTAACTGCCTTTCGACATGCTAATTATCAGTTCGCAACTGTATTATTGTAATTATTGCTGCAGTCTGCCGAAACATTTCACTCAAAGAATCGAGATTCCGAAGGAACCCGGTTCTTTTCTTTCTTCAGCCGAGGTGGTCAGGTGGGTGTGTTAGCTATACCTGGTTTCCAACTGGAACCATCCACACGAAAAACGGAGCGGTCCATTAGCGCGTGATTAATTAAATACTCTATTAGCTATTTTTTTCTCAAAAATGGATTAATTTGATTTTATAAAGCAACTTTTGTATATAAAATTTTTGCAAAAAAACGCACCGTTTAGCGGTTTGAAAAGCGTGCGCGCGGAAAACAAAGGAGATGGGTTAGGAAAAGGGGCATCCGAACACAAGTATAGCCAACTACTAGCTCTAATTCATCTATAGCCAATCTAATAGCTTATTCACATAATAGTACCTATAAGCATATACTACACCATTAATATATGGTCCCACCTCTCATATACACACAACGTATTGGAGTCCACGCGGTAGCTGGTTACAAATCTGTATTCCGCTTTCCTTCTATATTTTCTTCTCTCCTCCACATGTGCTTACAGCTAACTTGTAGTCTGCTATTGTACTCGCTCTAAGGGTGTGATGATGTCACGGAAACTGAGGATTCGTTGGGTTTAACCGTTTAGAGCAAGTATAATAGTGAGCTATAAGCTTACTGTAAACTTATGTGGAGGAGAGAGGTAACAAAAAATCAAGGGGTGGCTCTCATGTAAGAGCTAGCTTAACACAATATCTAAGACAAATACATTAAATGTATAAGTGAGAGATAGCGAGAGGAGAAGAAAATTATAGCCAAACTTATAGCTAATTTTATTATATATGTTGGCTTAAAATGAGTTAATAGTAGAAGTTGAGTTATACTATTGTCCTTGCTCTTAAGCGTCGACGGAAGGTTGATCGATTGGTGGGAATTTGGGTGGTCAATCACCGCATCCCATGAGATCGTTCTCCAACTGATCGAATCGCAAGGAGTTACCGGTACTTCTCGCATAGCTATTTGCTGCTACGCAGTCTGCAAAGTAACAGCAAAATCTTCACGGGAACAATGACCGAGGATAAAAGGAAGTGGGCTTTCTGGGATGGAAACAAAGGTTTCATTCCAGGATAGTACGGTATAACTCTGGATTTCAGGATTGGTTTTATAATTCTGACTTCCAGTGTTGACCTTTTTTCTTCAGAACGATTGGTTTCCATTTAGATGAACAAGGCTTCACGTACGATTCATCCAGTGTTAGGAAGGGCCTGCGAATTCGGCATGTTTTCTACAGTTAAGATGGGCTGCCAAAGTCCAACAACCTTAAGGCTCACTGGGATCAGCTAATTACAGTAATTGCTCTAACTGTTTAATTAAACCTAACATGTTTGAACAGTGATATTCATGAAACTTATTTAGTAGTAAAAAAATATAGTACTTCATCCACTCAAAATATAACAACTTTTAATCTTTAAAATTTGTATCAAGTATAACTACATATTCATCCACATTCTATTTTTAACTGATCACAACACCATTCAAATTTCCACATACCTCATCTTTCTAATCAATCACAACATTCTTCTATTTAATTCTACCAACTTACTTAGCAATCGTGTATAATTTTAAAACTTCTTATGTTTTTTGGACGAAGATAATACTCCCCGTTATAAAATCTGAGCTAATATACCACGGGATCCCGTCTAAATGGGATGATACCGATCAAGTATCAGATTGATCTGATACCCGTAGGTACCAGTCACCAACCTATACCTCGTTAGTATTAGCTAATGCCTGCTGGGACCACGTACCTGGTCGATACCCGATGGTACTAGGCGTGGTACCTATCAGTACTAGACCTGGTACCTATTGAGTATCAGACCAGAGCTTAGAGGGGAAGAGAATAAGGGATGAAGATGGTTATATGTGTTGGTTCTCTCACCTGGAGATGATGACGCCAAGCTCGATCAATGCCAAATCCAATAGCCGAGGATCTTGGGGTTTCAAATTTGTCGAACATGAGCAACAAGAAGGACACTTCCTCCCCTATCCTCCCTTGCACTTGGCGGCAATGGTGGTCGGTGGTGGTCTTACTCGACAACAATGGCATCGACACTGCCTCATCCTCTATCAACGGTGATGGAGGCGGAAGCTCCATGTCTTCCATCAATGCAATGATGGCGCTTCCCATCTCCTTCGGCTACGACTTCCTTTGTCCTCGCAGCGTAAGTCCACCTAATTTTATTGTGGTCCTACGGCACACCCTAGCCGATATGGGACTGTTTTAGTGCTTACCTGCATCTTGCCCTCCGACTTGTTGCTCCGCGTTGATCCTTCTTCCCCGCCGTGTCGGTCCAAGTCTTCTCCGCTGGGCATAGGTGCCGGAGAGGGGATCTCGCCCCGGATGGTAGGGATTGGGTGACGGTATCTTGTATTTTCTAACATGGGTTATTTTTCTTTAGTGACAATTTTGTTCTTTCCCCTACTCTAACACCACAAAATCTTCCCCTTGAGTTGTGATTCTTACTATGAACATACTACGTCCAAACCGAGATAAATATACACGTCTAACAGAATATCTAAACCGAGAGAAATCAGAAATTAGAAAGAGAATTCACATCAACATTGACACGGGTGGTTTTCGCGCTGCACCAATCACGAAGCACCCAAGCACGAATCTCGGAGCGCCGATGCCTCAACGCATCTGAGAAACCGTTCCAAGCTCGCCGCCGACGACCCGGCCGGACCCTCCCACGCCGCCGCCATCGCGCGCGCGATCTCCCCCGCCTTCCTCCTCATCGCCTCGCCCTTCTCCGTCTCCCCCATCACCGCCCCCACGGCCTCGGCCACCTCCCCACTCTCCACCGCCGAGCTCTCCAGGTTCCCGCGCGCCACCTCCACGCACACCCCCCACTCCACCACCACCATCGCGTTGAAGAACTGCTCGGCCCCCACCGGCCACCCGAGCAGCGGCACGCCGTGGCGGAGGCTCTCGAGGATGGAGTTCCACCCGCAGTGGGTCAGGAACGCGCCCGTGGACGGGTGCGCCAGGATCCGCGCCTGCGGCGCCCACCCGCGCACCACCAGCCCCCTGCCTGCGCGCGCCATCCGGTCCTCGAATCCGGCGGGGAGCCACCCGGGATCGAATCCGTCCTTGGGGTCGAACCCCACCGGCGGCCGGACGGCCCAGACGAACGGCCGCCCGCTCGCCTCCAGCCCCAGCGCCAGCTCCGCCATCTGACGGATGCTGATGCTGTTCTGCGACCCGAACGAGATGTACAGCACCGAGCGCCGCGGGTGCGCGTCCAGCCACCGGATGATGCTGGTGTCGTCGTCGTCCTGCGATTTCGAAGGATCCGGCGCCGCGAGGATCGGCCCGATCGCCCATGTCTGGACGCCGAAGCTCGCTCTGAGCATGTCTAGCCCGGAGGTCTCCAGTTCCTGGATGGTGTTGACGAGCACGGCGTCGGTCTTGCGGCAGCACGGGATGACCCGCCGGAAGAAGGCCGTCCAGGGGTCCGCCCCCGTCGCGGCGAGCATGTACTGCGGGATCTGGGTGCGGTGGAGGACGACGTCGGGGAAGTCGGGCAGCAGCGGGAACTCGTCGCCGCCGGCCGTGAGGGTGTGCGGGAGGTGCTCCCACACGGAGAAGAAGACGGCGTGGCCGAAGGCGCCTCCGGGGAGGAACACGGCGTGGGACGCGCCCCGCGCGCGCGCGACGTCGGCCGTCCACGCGAAGAAGGAGTCGGCGATGACGCAGACGGGGGGCCGGATGCCAGCGACGAAGCCATCGAAGGCCGGGCGGAGGGACTCGGAGGCCCGGAAGAGGGTGATGAACTGGTGGACGTGGAGGTCGGCGAGGGACTCGGCGCCGTCGGGCAGACCGTGGTCGGCGGGCGCGAAGGGGAGCGCGTGGAGCCGGATCGGAGGGGAGGTGGCCGGGAGGGAGAGGGAGCCGAGGAGGCGTGGGGTGGAGACGAGCGTGACGGCGAGGCCCGGGCGGAGCGTCTGGAGGTGGCCGGCGAGGCGGAGGAAGGCCGGGATGTGGCCGTGCGCGAGGAAGGGGAAGAGCACGACGTGCGGGCTCCTCGCCTCCTCTCCCTCTGCCGCCATGGTGAGGTGATGATGGGGACGGGGTGTTCGGTACTTCGGTGGAAGTGGACGCTGAGAGTGATGCGGCTCCCGCGCTGCCACTGAAAAACAAAACGCTGATGCGCTGAATGGCTGGAAAGGCGCCCTCCACTCACCGGGTGAGATACCGAGATGTGACCGCTTCCTTTCTCCAATTCTTCAATTTCGTCCAACTGAACTGTGCACTGACGCCATGATCAAACAGGTCCAGGTTTGAGCAGCAGAGCTTCATCAGATTATCAAAAGGAGTACAGAAAGACGAAGGGATGGCACATTGGTACCGATCGATGCAATGTCTGCAGTTCTCCACTGCATTCTGCTGGTACTCCTATATGTACTCTGGCCCCCGGTAGTACTAATACCACATGAGTAACATCAGTGATTATATGATTATTATCAAAGGCGAACTTTAGGAAGGGATGGAGATACTAGCTGAATTGCTTGAAGCAGAACCGTAGATGGAGATAATCAGAGCTTTCCAAACGGGAACACTATTAACAGGTATTTGGTCTATCGACTATTATTTACAACAACTGGGCAATGAACTCGAAGAAGGAACTAGAAAAACCCACATCAAAGTCAGATAAAAAAACTCTAGAAGTAAGAACTGCCATCCCGCCCATGAAGAACTCTGCGGCTCTACCGGTAATTCTTCGTTGTTCTGAAGGATATGCTGAGAGACACTGGATGTACAGAATGGCATTTGTATGAGTCAGTTTTATTTATCTCCCTAGAAATATGACATAAAGAATGAATGCAAACTCCCAAAAAATTCCTACATAAGTAAACAGAGAGAGGGAGCAAAAGGGCATTGCCCTGACTAGAACATATATAAATACATCATAAGTTATCCTTCTTTGAAGAATGATCAGAAGCAGGCGAGGATGAAGAGCTCATCCTGGCCCTATCTCTAGACTCACTTAACATAACTACAACATTCCGCATCGGTGGTCTGTCATATGGAGACATACTAGTACATAGCAATGCAATTTTCAAGACCTCAATCATATGATCGACAGACGTTTTGTCTTCCAAATTCAGATTCTTATCAAGAATCCCTGGACCCAAAGAATTGTCCCTGATGTAATTCTTTACCCATGTTACCAGATCACCTCCCAGTTCTAATGGTTGTACAGGGGCACGTCCGGTTAGCAGCTCCAGCAGTACGACGCCGTAACTGTATATGTCACTTTTTTCAGTAACCTTCATGGTGTATGCATATTCTGATCAAAGGAGAACTAGGTTAGTACTTTGTAGGAAACAATCACATGTACTTTCTGCTAGTATAAAGCAATCAAGTGGTATAGTAGCCTAGGATTTTACAAGCAATTTCAAGTAAAAGAGATAAGAGCTATAACAGGAATAAGTATGCAAAGTAACAGTAGAAGACTCACCAGGTGCTATATATCCATATGAACCAGCAATTGCAGACATTGATTTTGAGTATGGCATGTCTATCACCTTTGCCAATCCAAAGTCACCAACATGAGCTTCAAAGTTCTCATCAAGTAAAATGTTATTTGATTTTATATCACGGTGGATGATGCGAGGTTTGCAATCGTGATGCAAGTAAGATAGCCCTTCAGCTGATCCTAGGGCTATCATGAAGCGTGTCTCCCAATCAAGTGAAGACGAAGATTGCCCATGAAGTAACTCCCCAAGGCTTCCTCTTGGCATGTATTCATACAACAGAAGGTTGGAACCCTGGTGATAGATGAACCCATATAACTTCACAATATTACGATGCCTTATCTTTCCTAGAGTAAGGATCTCTGCACGAAAACTATTGTCTGTGTTGCTTCCCTCTCTGTTAGAAGCCAGCTTCTTTACAGCAATTGTCTGTCCAGCTTTCAAGATGGCTCTGTACACTGTTCCACATGCACCTCTTCCAATAACACAACTCTCGTCAAAATTATTTGTGGCAGAAACCAATTCCTGAAATGTATATGCATCCTTGGTAGAAACCTGCATGTTAGACCCAGCAGAAAATATTTGCTTGTCTTGCAAAGGAGCTACTGTTTCTAGTGGTTTTCTCATATGATACACAATTATAACGATAAGAATAAGTGAAATTCCTCCAATAACAGCAGCAACAATTGCTATGACCTTGCCCAAAGGGGGGCTGCCTGAATTGGATGACTGGGAAGAAGATATTGACTCAGACCCACATTTGCCAAGTTGTCCGCCACATAGTCCTTTGTTTCCAAGAAAGCTGGTTGACGCCATGTTATCAAAAAGTGGTATAGTGGGGAGAGCGCCGGTGAGATTATTGTAGGAGACATTGAACTCAAGCAAACTAGACAGATTTGCAAAGGTATCTGGGATTTCACCTGTCAGCTTGTTATTATTGAGAAACAAATTTTCCAATAATGCAAGATTACCAAGCTCTGATGGTATGTTGCCAGAGAGATTGTTATAACTCAAATTCATGGCGATCTGCAAACTTGAGAGTAGTCCAAGCTCCTTCGGTATTCCACCAGAGAATTGATTGCCACCAATCTGTAGAGCTGTCAAATGTGAAAGTTTACCAAGAATAGGTGGTATCTCTCCAGAGAGCCTATTGTCAGCAAATGATAGCAGCTCCAGCTGAGGCAGGCTGCCAACTTCATTTGGCAATGAACCTTCGAAGCTATTTTGGCTGAGATCTAGGCGTTGCAACATAGTGCAATTGAAAATTTCTAATGGTATGCTTCCGCCTAGTCTATTGGATGATATATTGAAGACGACGAGCTTTGACAGATTACCTATTTCTTGAGGCAACTCTGATGTGAAATAGTTATTTGTTAGGTCAAGCCTTTGGAGAGACTTGCAATTGCCTATCTGAGGAGGAATAGGACCATTGAACTTGTTTCGACCCAGCTCAATTGTTGTCAAATTCACCAGATTGCAGAGATCAGTTGGGAAGCTTCCTGTCAGACTGTTATCAGCGAGACGAAGCTGCACCAAGGATTTACAACTGGTGATTCCATGGGGGATGTTCCCAATCAGCTTGTTAGCCCCCAAATTCAACAAAATAAGGTTCGACTGCCTGCAAAGATCTCGAGGTATCTGCCCGGTTATATTATTATTTGAGAAATCCACCACCCAAAGCCGGCTATAGATACCAAATCTTGGAGGTATGTCACCTGACAGCATATTGTTGAATAGTTGCAATTGGATTAGTCTGCTCATGTACTGAAAACAGGCTGGAATTGGGCCACTGAGTGTATTGATCGAAAGATCAAGCTTACTCAAATTCCTCAATACACACAACTCGGTAGGAATAGGGCCAGTGAGTTGGTTTTGGAAGAGATAGAGTAAATACAATCGTGGTATCTTGCCAAATTCCTTTGGTACCCCTCCAGTTAAAACATTCTCTGAAAAGTCAATCTCCTCTGCAAGAGAAAGATTGCCAATTTCTAACGGAATCGTACCATTTAATAAATTCCTGTAGAGGTATAGCCTCTGAAGGTTCTGGATGTTCCCGATTGTTGCAGGAATAGGCCCAACCAGATTATTGTCATAAAGGGCAATTGTCCTAAGATTTATGCAGTTTCCAATCTCTGGGGGAATCACACTAGAAAGCTGATTTCCCCACAATATTAAGTCTGTCATATTTGTCAGTTTCCCAATCTCCTTAGGCAATGGCCCTCCTAACTTGTTTTGTGCAAGACCAAACACCACCAGGTTGAGGCATTCACCTATCTCGACAGGAATGTTACCAGATATTGCATTCTGACCTAACCGGACGGTTTTCAGGTTCTTAAGCCTACCAATAGTATGAGGTATAGAGCCAGAGAGATTATTGCTGTACCCTACCAGGTCCTCGAGTGATGCCATATTACCAATCTCATCAGGTATTGCACCAAAGAGCTTGTTGTTGCACAGGTTGAATGTGATCATCATAGCCAGCTTCCCGAGCTCAGCGGGGATTGTGCCCTGGAACTGGTTGTTGTTCAAGTTGAGCCCCGTCAACTTCGAGCAATTCCCAATCTCTGCAGGGATAGTGCCAGAAAACCCATTGAATGACAGATCAAGGTTAGTCAGCTCAGCCAGGCCACCAATGCTCGGGTCGACGGTGCCCGACAGGTTCATGTTGCTGAGGTTGAGGGACACCACCGCCGGCGTAGACCCCGACGAGCAGTTGACGCCCTTCCACCCGCACGGCGATGGATCCTCGGGGTTCCAGTCGTCAAGGTGGTGGAAGGTGTCAACTATCTGCTTCCTCAGCGTCAGGAGAAGCCAGCCTTCATGGTTCAGGCCATGGCAGGTAGTGGCCAGCAGGAAGGCCAGCGCCACGCCGAGCTGCAGAGCCCAGGGCGTGCGAGCCGCCGCCGCAGAGCCCATCTTCCCTTCACAATGGTCGCAGTGGAACCAGAGCCGAACCCCCCCTCCCTACGACCTCGTGCGCTGCCGCATCTCTACGACCTGGAATAGGATGCAAAGAGGAGTTTAGAACATGCAGCAAGAGACGTGAAAAGATCAGCTTTTGGATTGGAAAAAAGATTCTTAGGACCAGGAACTGTCTGCAAGCTAACAAGGAACTACTTTTGCATTGTCTGGACACTAAAAAACAAGGCAGCACAAATCCATCTGAACTCATCTAATCTAAACCCCCCCGAAGGTCAGAGAATCATCCAAAGCTGGGACCGAATTGAGGCCATCCGAATCAAGAAGCACGGCCAAAAACAGCAAGAATCCGATCCCTCTGACCAGGAATGGTACCCGGGCTGGGCTTCAGCTCATCAAGAATCTGAACAGGAGCGGGCGGCCACCCAATCACACCCACCATTTCCCAGCAGTGAAGGGATTTTAGCGCCCAGGGAAACCCCACCTCCCCCCCGAATCACGGGAGCCCCCACCCCATCATCCCCGGCGGGTCCCAGGAACACACCGCCGCGCACCACCCACCGGAAGCAGATCGGGGAGAGAGAGAAAAAGAATAAGAAGAAGAAGAAGAAGAAGAGAAGAACCGAGTCTTTCCCGACGCGACGCGAGCTCCGCGGTTGCAGAACCCAAGCCATGCCGCACTGCAACAGCGAGGAGCACACCCACCGGGGAGCACGGTAATGCAAGGTATGCGCGCGCGAACTCACCGCTCACCGACGCGTGCTCTCTCGCCGCCGCCGCCGCCGCGGATGGGTCGCCGCTGTCCGCTGGCACGCTGGAGCACCGTTGCGACGGCGAGGTCGGGCCGGGCGCGTCCACCGGCGGGAGCTAGTAGTGGTAGTATTAGGAGGAGGAATGGGCGAGGAAGAGAGAAGAAACCTCGTCGTGGCTCGCCGTGGAGGGAGGGGGGAGAAGAGGTGGCGGAGGTGGGAGATGGAGATGGAGATGGAAGGGGGAGGAAATGGAAGCTGGAAATGGCAGGCAAGCACGCTTTCAAGCTCTTGCGAGGCGTAGCGATCGCGGGCGGTCCCTCTCTCCCTCGATCTAGCCTCCTTTCCTCTCTTACACTTGCTTTCTCTCTGCTTTGCTTTTCGTCCTAATCCGGCCGGCCCCACCAAGCACTTTTAAGTTTTAGCTCCCCTTGTTTTTTTTCCTCCCCTCCCCCTTCTTAATTTTCTCTCCTGTTCATATCTACTTGCATTAATGTTGGGTTTTGCTTAAACAGAGTGTTTGTGACCTTGTGTTGTACCCCACTGTTAAAAAAAACTAAACCTTCCAGTACAACGAATAAAAAGATTGCACAGATTTATTATACTAGAAGAGAATATGACCCCGTGATTCATTGCCCAGATTGCTTCAGACGAAGAAAGTATTATCTCCATCCCATAAAATATCAACGAGTACTGAATAATATATTCTATTACTACAAATCTGGATATCTCTATCTAAATTTATTGCAATAAAATGTGTTACATTCAGTTTTAGATTTTTTTTATGAGTACGCAGTGAGTGAGGTACAGTGGTGAGGAGGAAGGTTCGGGAGATCGGGTTGCTTTGGCCGGCATAAAGACGACGAGGAGGAGGCATTCGATGATCGATCTATGCGTCTCCCGGCGGGTTTGGATGGGCGTTTTCGGGGGTTGATTGATTGATTGGTCGTTGTTGTCATGGCTCACGAGTGAGATCAGCTGTTGCGTTCTCCGCTACGTGACTGCACGGGACTCTGTGCTCTAGAGAGAACGAAAGACAGCGCATGCACACGTTTGGAGCCCTACGCGTGGTGGGAGAGGTTTCCTCTTCTTTTTTCTTTTCCCGAAAGAATGGAGTTTGACACTTTGACTGCATTGATGTACAGGAGTACGCAGTAACTACTGGCCGGTAAGGTTTGATCGTTTGATACTTTGATTACGATAGTTACCCTCCCTACGGCTAGGAAATGTATTAGCCATGTACTATTAGGGGGTGGAGGAGAGATGGAGTGGGATTGGGATTAAACTTTTAAACTAACTCTCTGTTTGGGAAACAGGTACTTATTACAAGTCCCTGTCACATCGGATATTTGGACGCTAATTTAAAGTATTAAACATACACTAATTATAAACCCATTCCATAACTTTAGACTAATTCGCGAGACGGATTTTTTAGTCTAATTACACCATGATTTGACAATGTGATGCAACAGTAAACTTTTTATAATTATAGATTAATTAGGCTTAAAAAATTCATCTCGCAGATTAGCTCTCATTTATGAAATTAGTTTTTTTATTAATCTATGTTTAATACTTTAAATTAATATCCAAACATCCGATGTGATATGGTTTTTAGCCCCATCTAAACACCCAGCATCTCGTCTCGTCGTCTTCGACTGTCTGACCAACCCAAAAAAAAATGCATCCAAAAAGATTGTGCTGCGAGTACTAGCACAGTAGTAGTACTCCTACGTACTCGGCCTCGGGGTGCTCGAGTGAGTGAGTGGCAAGAGAAAGAGGGGGTGATGATCCGAGATCGCACAAAAAGGAGCCTTTACGTGCGTGCGAGTGTGCAAAAATCAGCCTTCTCTCTCGAAACCGGAGAGATGCTAGCCTAGGTGTAATCACACGGGCGGGTGCCTTCAAGTTTACTCCTCTCTCTCTCCTCTTCTTTTAATCACTTGGATTAACGCGACGCGGTAGCAGTAGGACTCTACGCGTGGGCCCCAGAGACAGATGTTGTATGGATCGGAGTTTCACGTGCATTTGGCCGGCTTCGTTGTTTCGTTGTAGGGAAGCTTCTGTTCACTTCGTACGACGAGCCGCGAGCGAGTCGTTTCTTGCTGAAAGAACGCCATGACCGGATGACCACTGCGAGCTTGGGCACAAGTCCGTCGCAAAACGTTTTGTATCTCCTGTAGCTGCATGCGTTACACCTATACAAGTACCGTGCCGTTCTGAGTTCTGACCTCAAAGTATAGTACATACGAATTGAACATTACTCCGTATCAATCAGTGTGTGCCTCGAAAATTCAAAGACGACGACCCGCCAGCTGCCCGTAATTGTATTCTGAGTTTTGTTTAGCTTGATCCGCAGTCATGACCAAATAAAAATAGGTTCAGGCATGCCCCTGTTACATTACATCATACAAGATAATGTGCATGAATGTACAGAGCATGCTACATACTACTCCCTTCATTCCTAAATATTTGACGCTTTTAATTTTTTTAAATATATTTGACCGTTTGTCTTATTCACAAAATTTAAGCAATTATTAATTATTTTTCTATCATTTGATCTATTATTAAATATACTACTACTACTCAAGTTTTTGAATAATATTCACAAATTTTTTTAAAAAGATGAACGGTTGAAAATGTTTTAAAAAGTCAACGACGTCAAATATTTAGAGAACGAGTTAGTAGTATTTTATCCAGGTAGTCGCTAGCTTGGACGATGTTGTTTGTTAGGTAAAAAAAAAACCCGGATAATAAGCTGTTATATATGTCAGCATCTTTGACAGCACGCAGACACTACTGGTAGTGTACAGATTCCAGTCTTGAGACGCTACACCGTATTCAGCACAGATAATAATTAATTTTCTTGGCCATTTTTTTAGTGGAGAGAAGCCTGTCCATCTAACGGATTAACTAAGCAAACGAGGGGGATTAATTAATCAGGCTAGGCTCTTGTAGCACGAGAAATCAACCGAGGACGGCGACACGGCATCCCGCCGGTCCGGTTGGCTGGTTTTTTCTCCAATTATTCCGTTCGGCTCTTGCGGCGAGCGCGAATGCGCAAGAGAGATACGAGGGACAGAGAAAGGTGAGGCGCAGCATTACTTGGCGGATACAACCAGCGACTGAACTAGCCGGTTACAGTGGGAAAATAGGGGAATGGATCAGACATGGAAAAACCATGGAAAGAACAAGTACAGTACTGAGGTGTACTTAAAAGAAGCATACATCTGTATCTTGACATGCTCTACACGATGGCGAGGCGAAAAATTGTTAGAGGAATCTGGCAGAGGGTAACCTTTTCGTTGTCTCCCCACTCACCTCGGGTTGAAATCATAGAATTAACCCTTATTTATTAGGATTTTCTTTTATATTTAAGGAGGTATACAGTTCATATCAATTTAAAAAAAGTACTCAAGTAAAATATGTATAGCAAGATCAAAATATATACGATAAGAACTATTTAAATACCTACCAAAAATATCCCAAAATAATATAGAGTATGACGGAGCTCGTGGCTCCTCACCGGGAGACCGCGCAGGCCCCCCTTTGCCAGTTCGGCCGGGGGCTTAGGGTGAAATCTCAAGCTCTCTCGGTATGTGGAAAGATCGCGAACCCAAAAGTAACGCGAGACGCAGGAGACGTATACAGGTTCGGGCCGCTGGGAAGCGTAATACCCTACTCCTGTGTTTTTGGTGGATCTGTGTATGGACAAGTTACAAAGTATGAACCAGCCAAGGAAAAAATCAATCCCCCAAGATCGGATCTGGAGAAGGCCTTGCGTCCCCCAGTCCTCCCCTTCTTTTTTTCTCTTTCTTTTTTTTTTAAGTGGGCAAGGTCCTCCTTTTATATCTCAAGGGGATACCACATGCCCCTCTCTCTTTCCAAACTGGACTTTTCCTCTCTTCATAAATGGACGGAGATTGGTATGGTTGCTGTCCGTTGCTGACGCGACCAGTATCAGACCGGTCACAGATCGGTCATTCTTGTCCTCCACGCGTCAGTTTAGCAATCTGCATGTTCGCCCTTCTTCATGTAACATCTTCCCTGTAATGGTTGGGATGAAGCCTGGTATATATCTGACCGGGGCTAACGTGCCATCTCTAAGAGATTACACGCTAGCTCCGGCTTGAGACGAGTGCCTAGAGGCTTTCGTCTTGACGGGATGGGGCAAGGCGTGCGTCAGACCGCCAGTCGCCACCTAACCCGTGATCTGACCGGTCTGTGACTGGTCACAGACCGGATAAAGGAACGCGCTGTACTGCGCTGCATGCAGCGTGACACGCTTGACCAGACCGCAATAAATGCGGTTAGGTGAGCCCTGCCGTGTTCACCTAACCCATACATGTGACGAAAAAACCCCCAAGGGGTCGGGGCGCCTCGGCCCTCGGGGCCGGGACAGGAGTCACCCGACTCCCCTCGGGGAAATCAGGAGGAGGGCGGACACCTCACCCTCGGGCCCGACGTCCCCGAGGGTGCCAGGCCACGTGGGCGATTGTGTCTGCCTCAAGCCTCTGGTCACGATACTCCCGGTCCCATATCACCGACAGTAGCCCCCGGCGTTATGCCAGGGCGATCGCCCTTCTCAAGGGAAGCGGTCGGGCGTGACGCCACTCCTAAAGCCTGGTGACAGGTAGGACCGGTCCCCATGGTAGGGCAGAAACCCAACGGTCTCAAACCATGCACATCGGTAATGGTAACTGGACTGTCAATAATGGATAGCGCTGGATGAGTTCCCTCCCGGGACCGAGGACGACGCGCGCGCGCGGGTCCGGGATGCCGCCGACCACATCGTCCACAGTTTCGAGGGGTCGGCCCCTCGACTCGCGTTCGCCCCCAACTCCGACGAGGAGGGCGATGCCAGCGGTGCAGACGACCGTGACGACGAGGCCGGCGACCCGGGCGCATCGGATTGAGCCCCCAGGCCCCCGCCAATCTCCAGTTTTTCCTTTTTCTTTCTTCTAAGGCCTTCAGGCCTCTTTTTTGTATAGATCAACTTAATCTGCAATAAAAAATGATGAAGAAAAAAAAATTCTTTGTGTTAATTTTATTTTGCTATGCGTATGAGATGAGGATGATCTGTGCCGTGGTCCTCTTTTGTGTCTTAGCTTGATTTAAGGGCTTGTGCCCAAGTCCCAGTCCTCGAAAAGCGCGGGTCGGGGCTAGTGCCTGGGGAGATCCACATGTCGAGACTGGCCAGGCCGGGAACGTGGTGACCGAGGGTTATGGGTAACCCGATTGTGGGTTTTTGCCGATTCCCCCCGGAGTTCACCACGCCCTGGGGCACGGCTCGGTTCTAGGCCCCGTTTGGCGATTTTAGCTGACCG